AAAGAAAATTCCATAACTTTTGCACAATTATATTTTCTAGTGTGTTTTCTCTCCATTTTGTGAGTGGTGTATTTTATTATTCATATTTCATGGAAATGTTAATACTTAATAAGAAGAAAATTAACTTTGAACCTTAACCTCTAGGGTCTTTCACCTTCAACCAAGCTAAGGCGAAAACCTTGTTACTAAAGTAAATAATTTTCATGTCTATTATAATTTGAATAGAAGAAAGTAATTGTATTAATTTTCTTATATCTAATCTATAGATATGCTGTGTCATATTTCACCGTTTTATGTGAAAAATAATTAATAATTAAAAGGCAGAATAGCCTATTAGACACTTGTACTTATATTGGTTTGTCATCCCGATCCCTATACTTGATAGAGTTTCATCTAAACACTTCTACCTGATAAAAACGAGTGTCTCAAATCCTTCTGACACCGCGTGTCTCTCAATCGCGCTATGTCAGAATCCATATCAGATAAAAATATGCCAGATCATTTTTTATTTAGACAAAAAATCTAAAATAACTTTGACTTACCATTTTTCTCTTTTGACTTTTTATTTATTTTTCTTTACTTCCCCACCATCACTTTTTTCTTACTGTTCTCCACTGCCATGGCCGAAAATTTCTCCGGCCACCATGAAACTCCTTCCTTTCGTTTTTTTTTATTTCATAATCTATTCCTCTATCCTATTTTCTCAAAAGCTCCCTCTAAACAGATCTGAAATCATATTTTTAGGCAGAAAACATATCTTAAATAAAGATAATACAGATTCCATCTTTTTTATTTCTTTTTTGCATTTCACTTTCACCCAAAAACCAATAAAACTTACTAAAACAATATAAACTTTCATATTCTTCTTCACAAACTTATTGAAGTTAATTGATCAAAAAATATTTGACGGTGACAAATCAATAGTGAAGAGCCTCAATCTTGGTGGTGGATGACAGTTAAAATTGAAGGATGACGAAGGGGAGGAGGCCAACAGCGGATTTCAAAGTGAAATTAATAAAATATTTTTATGTTGGTAATTTTATTTAATATCAAAGCCTAATAAAAGGGGGAGGTAGAAAAAAGAGGGCCGGACGGAAAGGAACGGGGAAGAAGAAGATAGGAAGAGGGGAACATGGGTGTTGGAAGGGGTTATGACGGGAAGGGGTCAATGACGGAAAGCAGGGGTCTTTAGGATTTTTTCAATCTTTTTTATTTATTTTTATTGTTTCTTTTCTTGTGATTTTTCAATAATTCTTTAATCAAATAATTGTACCACGCGTCTTTTATTAGCGTTGTAATTNGAGGACAACTTGGAGGGGCTGTTTATGTATTTTGCCTTTAAAAATGTTTTAACCTGTACTCACTTTTTAAACAACTTCAGGCATCTTTCTCCTCCTCCTTCATTTTCTTCTTCTCCTTCTTTTTCTTCTTTTTCTTCTTCTACTTCGGGTGACAATGAATTTATATGGTGGTTGTGAATATATTTTAATGTAGTTTATGATGTTTTACAATGGTGAGCTGTTATGACATTTTATTTTTTTACTATTGCTTATGGTTTCTTCTTCTTATTTTTCTTAATTGCAAAATGGGTTCATTAGATTTATTGTTGTTTTGACAAATTGATAATTGAGATTTCCTGATGATATCTGGAGGCTATGTTTCAAATTTGAGCTCATTTGGAGTAGATTTAGGTATTAAATCGTATATTGGATTGTTATAATTCGAAGAACAAATTTTCGTTTCTGGGCAATTTTCACTTCAAACTTATTGGCCTTAAGTGAATGAAAACCTTTGTTGCACTTCAGACTTTTCGGCCTTATGTGCATCTGAATTGCAATTTTTCACTTCAGACTTATTGACCCTAAGTGCATGAAACAATTGGTTACACTTCAGACCAATTTGGCCTTAAGTGCATCTGAAGTGCAAATTTTCACTTCAGACTTATTGGCTTAAGTGAATGAAAACGTTTGTTGCACTTCAGACTTTTTGGCCTTAAGTGCATCTGAAGTGCAATTTTTCACTTCAAACTTATTGACCTTAAGTGCATATGAAGTGCAATTTTTCACTTCAGACTTATTAGCCTTAAGTGCATGAAATCATTGGTTGCACTTTATACCTATTTGGACTTACGTGCATTTGAAGTGCAAATTTTCACTTCATGCACTTTTTTATAACTTCAGACCCATAAGTCTGAAGTTGATCGTAAAGTGGGTACGCTTGCAAACTCTTTTGCAAAGTGGGTATAGGTACAATTGTGATCCAAAAACTGGGTATAGATGCAAAAGCCCCGTGACAAACTAAGCCAAGGCCCGGTCCAACCTCACACAGAGCGAGAGTGAACGGTAAAAATTGCACGGGGCGCCCTATTTGGGCGCCACTTTTTATCCTGTAGCCGCTTTGTCTTTTTGTTTGCATCCGTACCCACTTTTTAAAAAACTTCAGCTTCCCTTTATAACTGGGAAACTTAAGCTCTAGAGCTGAAGTTTCCGGGTTACTAAACAAAAACTTCAGCTCTAGAGCTGAAGTTTTTATTTTATAACTAGCAAACTTCAGCTCTAGAGCTGAAATTTTCGGGTTACTAAACAAAAACTTCAGCTCTAGAGCTGAAGTTTTCCGGTTACTAAACAAAAACTTATAAAATAAAACTTCATCTCTAGAGCTGAACTTCAGGGCCGACTACTAAAATGCTAAAGTTTTGTGTAATTGCCTTTGCTACTTCAGCCCCGTGTGCTGAAGTTATGTGAAAAAGCGGGTACGCTTGCAATTTTTTGTAAAGCAGGCACAAACTAAAATGTGACACAAAATACGAGTATAGATGCAAATGCCCGTCCTACTTTAAGGGGGAAAAATAGGACCCTCATAAAATTTTTCAAAGGAATGTGAAAAACAAATGAAAGGGAGAAAATGGAATACGTGGGCTTTTTGGTTATTGAACAAGGAAGGTTTGACGAATTTAATATTTAGAGTCAGCAAATTCAAAATAAATATATAATTTATAGCTCCTATATTTTTTTATTATTAAATGTATAAATAACTAAAATTAAAACTATTATGTTCAGTTGAATCCATCATATTCGCTCTAGGTCCATCTTCGTAGGAAGGAGGATGTCAATATAAAATAGTCAAGACATTTTTTTGTTTTTCATTTATTTAGAGTTTTCACAACTAGTACTAGAAATCTGTAGATTCTTTACGATTATTCTTGTTGGAACGTTAACAATAATCTGAAAATTTGCAGAAATATTTTTCAACAAGCACATTTCTCAAAGATATGTGTGAAATACACGTGTTTCTAGTAGTGGCAAATTTCTTCAAATAAATCTATAAATTAATACTAAACACATATGTAATATGATTCAGTTTCACATTAAAATAAAGAAAATATTATTTCTCAATATTTGATCGATATAAAGGAATTGAGCTAAATTCACTCTAGAGAAAACCATTCATTGTAATTCAATCAATTTATTGTCTTTAATGTACTTTATGAAGTGATTCTATTGTATTTTAAAATTACTTGTATCGTACTTATTTATAGAATCAAGCAAATACATTATAGAATTATTTAAAAGTTTTGACATATGAAGTGCTTAATAAGTTATATTATTCTAAATGATGGTAAAACTTTTATTCAAAACACAAAAGCTCTAAAACATTAATCCTTGAAATTTTGAATCAAAGATTTGTAGTTCTGACAAAATAAAACTATTAAAATTCAACTCAACGTACATGAAAATCTACATATAGTAGAATTCTTATATGCTTATTGTACCAAATTCAAATGGTCAAACGTACAAATCTTTTCATGTACTCCCCCCACTCCTTGCTTCCATTACATAAGCTGTACTTTAAATTCTAAAAACCCTATTTGTGAGCCTAAATATTTATTAAATCCACTAGCTTTTGTACTTTCTTTCTTTGTTAATAACGGGGTTCTCATAAAAGTCAAACGCTAAGAAAAAAATTAATATTTATAAGATATATCTATTTTACCATAAAAATCACATTCAACATTCCATTATATAAATTTTAATTTCGAAGTTACAAATTAAAATATGAATATATATTTTATAATTCTTCATTCGCTAATTTATCTGAAGTACTTGTCTCGAAACATAATTTAAGAAAAAAAATAAATTTTTTGAAACTTGCGAGTTTGAATAGGTCATAACATTGTGTGGTACGAGACTTTAAAACCTTGTGATATTGAATATGCTATAAAATTTATGTAGTCATAAAAGTATCTCATTTATATCAAATACTGTACATATTTTTATGTAAATTAATTAATTGGTGCGAATACCAAAGAATTTTCCCATCCATAATTTTCCTCACTTTCCGAGGTGGACTTAGTACAAATTATGAGTTCATCCAAACATAGCAGTTTTAGCTTAATTCTTATGTAAAAATAATATTCACTCCGTCTCATAATAAGTACCGTGATTATTAAATATAGTTGTTTTAAATTATTAGTCATTTTAGAGGTTCAAGACAAAATTAATCATATTTTTCCTTTTTTACGTTTAATATTCAATTGCATTCACATTTAGTAAAAATATGAATAATGTCATTGAAAGACATTACACATAATTAAGAAAATATTTAATAAGGGTAAAGTAGTAAAAAATAAATCTTTCTTAAGGGGCGTGTACAAGAGAATCACGACACATATTATGAGATGGAGGGAGTATATATCAAAACCCAATTAATCAAATTGTTGCGGTAAAATTATACTCAAATAATTTAAATTTAAATTATAGATTTGCCTTTGCTTACCTACCTCAAAAAATAAAAAAGAAGATTTGTCTCCGTATGTACTATAGATGGCGGGTTCAAGATGTAAAAGTAGTGCTTGCATTAGATTATGTTGTCTACCCTTTCTCCAACCTTGGGTGAACGCTACCCTGTTTTTGGTCCACAAATATAATTTTTTTCTACCATTTATGAAATTTAAATTTATAACAAAAATATAAATTTTGTCCCTAGTATTATTTTTATTTACTCCCAATACTTTTGTAATTTGTCCATATTGCCATAATCCACTCATGAATTCTTCTTCTTCTTCTTCCTCCCTAAGTCCCCTTTTTCCATTTCCATGAACAAAACCTCTCTTTATCAACCTCTCTTCAAACCCCTAAACAGCTTTTTCTCTCCTTTTTCATGTCCTAAGAAAAACCCATAAAAATTATCTGTTCATTCTCCACACACACACAGAGAAAATGGGTTCTCTTGTCCAATTTCAAGACCTTAATCTTCAACCTGAATCCACCAATTTAACCTCTAATTCTCGAACTCCATTAATTACCCCCAAAATTGAACCTAAACTTGAACCCCTTGATGAATTTACTCAAGCTGATCTTCAAACCCCACCTCTTTTCTCCAACCCTAATACTCCCAATTTCAACTCCAATTTCACTCCTAATCCACTATCACACAGCTCAATTACTACACCTGAACAAAACCCATCTGGGTCTGATGGAACAAATGTGTATTCTGAGTATAACAGAATTTCTGAGCTGTTTCGTGAAGCTTTTGCTAAACGAATGCAGCGTTACGGAGATATTGAGATTGTTGCTGATCCTGAGAATGATGATACCCGTGACATCGAGGCGGAACTCGATAATTCACGTGCCATTGTTCCGGTTAATAATGAGGATAATCAGATTTCAGAAATGGTAATTCCTAGAAGAAAATATCAGCAAAGATCATCTGAATTAGTTAGGGTTACAGATCTTAAACCTGAAGATCAACGTTATTTCCGCGATGCTGTTAGGAGAACCCGAATGCTGTATGATTCGTTGCGTGTTTTAGCGATGGCGGACGATGAGAATAACATGGGTGTGGTGCCTCATAGGAAGACTAGAGGTGATTTAAAGGCTTGTCAGGTTTTAAGAGAACACGGGTTGTGGATGAATCGCGATAAGCGTATTGTTGGGGCGATCCCGGGGGTGTTTATTGGTGATGTGTTCTTTTTCAGGATGGAGCTTTGCGTTGTTGGTTTACATGGGCAGGTTCAAGCTGGCATTGATTATGTCCCTGCGAGTCAGAGCTCGAATAGGGAGCCGATTGCTACGAGTGTGATTGTTTCGGGTGGATACGAGGATGATCAGGATGGTGGAGATGTGATTATATATACTGGGCACGGCGGACAGGATAAGTTGTCGAGGCAATGTATGCATCAGAAGCTGGAATGTGGGAATTTGGCGTTGGAGCGGAGTATGCACTATGGAATTGAGGTAAGGGTAATTCGCGGCTTTAAGTACGAAGGTAGTGCTAGTGGTAAAGTTTATGTGTATGATGGATTGTATAGAATTGTTGAATGTTGGTTTGATGTTGGAAAGTCTGGATTTGGAGTGTATAAGTACAAGCTTGTTAGGATTGAGAATCAGGAAGAGTTGGGAAGTGCCATTCTTAGGTTTGCGCAGAATCTTAGGATTAGACCTTTGGTGGCAAGGCCTGCGGGTTATGTTAGTCTAGATATATCCAGGAAAAAAGAAAACGTGCCAGTATTTCTTTTCAACGATATCGATGATAATCACGATCCTGCTTATTTTGATTATCTGTTGAAGACTGTTTTTCCTCCGTATGTGTACCAGAATGTGGGCAGTGGAAATGGCTGCGAGTGCGTTAATGGGTGTGTGGATAATTGTTTTTGTGCTATGAGAAACGGTGGCCAATTTGCCTATGATTATAATGGGATATTGGTGAGAGGTAAACCATTAGTTTTTGAATGTGGACCACATTGTCAGTGTCCTCCAACTTGTCGGAATCGAGTGAGTCAAAAGGGTTTGAGGCACAGATTTGAAGTGTTTCGGTCTAGAGAGACTGGTTGGGGAGTTAGGTCATTGGACTTGATCCAAGCTGGGTCCTTCATCTGTGAATTTACTGGGGTCGTACTCACACGAGAGCAAGCCCAAATCTTTACGATGAATGGTGATAGTTTAGTCTATCCAAGTCGCTTTCCTGAGAGGTGGGCAGAATGGGGAGATTTGTCTCAAATATATCCTGACTATGTGCGGCCAGCATACCCCTCCATTCCTCCTCTGGATTTCGCGATGGATGTGTCTAGAATGAGGAACGTAGCATGCTATATGAGTCACAGTTCAAGCCCCAACGTGTTGGTGCAGCCCGTGCTTTATGATCACAACACTGTATCTTTCCCCCACCTGATGCTCTTTGCAATGGAGAATATTCCCCCTCTTAGGGAGATCAGTATTGATTATGGGGTAGCAGATGAATGGACAGGGAAGCTTGCCATTTGTAATTGACTAACTTGTAGGAGTTGATTCAATTTTGAACATGATGCAGCACAGCCATTTCTGGCACATCATTTGCTGAGGTAATTAAAACATTCAGTCAATAATTTCTGTTAAACTCAAAATTGTAACTGCATTCAGCTACATGGAGGGCTGACTATCAGTCTGTACTGGTATTGGTTTTCAGTTGTCTTGTTACTCTAGCTAGTTATGGCCTTTATCCTGAATCTCTTTAGAAGCTGTTTTAAGCCCTCGGAATTTGGAATTGATGAGACTGATTTTATTACAATATTGGGCAGTCTTAAATTGTCTAGCTTCGGTGACTTTTGGATGTGTCGCCAAAAGCTGGTTGGAACTCCAATTGCTTTGCTGAGTTTTTTTTTTTGATATACTATATGCAGTTTGAATGCATCTTACTGCGCTTGATGAATGGATTTGAACTTCTTTTCATGCTGCTTAATAGGAATTCCCTTTCCCATACTTGATTGTCTTTTTAATGATTCACAGGATGATTTTGTTTCTGATTTGCTGTTCTTCCACTGGTGGATATCTTTCTCTTCAGATTCCATGTCTAAAGAACTCCTCAAATAACTGCTAAGAAGTATTCTCTTGTCCCATAATAGTTGAACTTCTTTTTATTTTTACACCATGGGTGTGAGGTCAATAAAATGGGTGAAATCAAAGGAGACCACGGACAAAAACACTAGATTGTTTCCTTTCTGCCTTAGTCTTAGTGGACAATGTTAAACATTATTTTGTTTACTCGAAGTGCACATGTTGATCTGGATGCCACTATTATTAAAAAAAAGGTTAAACTAGCTATTAGATTTAGAGCCTGGTTGGTTTAGTCAATTGAGACTAGCTGATATGCATTAAATACTAAAGTTGATTTATAATAAGCGGTTAATTGATTAGAAGTACTGTAACTGATAATAATCACTTTTTCTTTTAAGATGACTGAAATGCCCTATATATATTGTAAAAGTATTTTTACATGGAAAAGGACGGATGACTGAATGACGAGGGAGGTAGGGGTTTTCTTTTAGGAAGGGTACTTAGGTATTTAAAAGTTATTAGAGGTAACATAATAAAAATTTTGGTCAGGTCAGAAGTGATTATAAACTTAAAAGACTATAAGTTAGGGGTGACCAACTTCTGGCTTATAAGCACTTTTGGGGTTTACCAAATGCATAAATAAGCCAAAAAGTACTAGTGCTTAAGCTTACCAAACATCCTCTTAGAGTATAATAAATTATTTTGAGTTGGAAAAAGAGGGTTAAAATGAGGTTTTGAAATGTGAAAAATAGAATATTTAGTTGAGAAGATATCAAGAAGCTTGATATAATTAGGGGAAGAAAAAAATGTTCTGTTCAAGGGGAAGTTTTATTTGGGAATGGAACTTAGAGGGAAGTAGGGAAAGTATGCAAACAGTGGAGAGGCAGCTATACTGATGAAATTGTCTTTTATTTATATGGAAATTCGTTCAAGTATTGGAACAACGGTAGTGCTCTAACTAAGTTAAATATTAACGGGATCAAATGGACAAAAGAATACTGTCAGTTGGTGTCCAAGTGCCAATTGTAACATGAGCTATGATGTCAAGTATTTTGCATATCTCAATGTTAATTTTCTCTTTTAGGAATTGCTCCAATGATTTTAACTTAAAGTACCTTGATCTGATTGGACAGTTACATAGTGGCTTAATTACATGGGACTATGCGTCCTTAAGTGGTGGTCATGTACGAGAAGAGAAAGAGGGTGGGGGGAAGAACTTGTCTTGGGACTCACTTCAATCTTTATGAAAAAACGGTTCCTTTTGTATCACCTTCACAAACAAACTCAAGTTTAAAGCATAAAATTTATTTCTCACCATTAAAGGAGGATGGGTATGACAATGGCCCAGAGTCGGCTGGGATGATTTCCCTGCTAACGCCCCACTCCACCTCGCCCAACTTTGCCCTGCCCTGGCCCAATTTGCTGACACCCTTTCTTTCCTTTCATTAATTTTTAGTCCCTTTTTCATCATTTTCAATTCTTTATTGTATTTCCAAATTAGGTATTGTATATCGCCTGCCAATAACATTGTTTTCATTAGATGTTAACTTAACATCTGAAGGAAGAATTGAACACCAACCCAATCTCGAAAACAAAAGAGAACTACAAGCAAGGACATTTTCTCGATCAAGAAGGTATTCAACTTCTCAACGCACTCTATCAATTCTTTCTTTGCCTCATCTCTCTACACCAATTATTATAAATGAAACGCAGAATATACTCCTTTTTCAATTTATGCGACACACTTTCCGTATTGGGCCGTTTAAAAAAGAATGACACATTTCTATACTTGGAAACAATTTACTCCCTCCGTTTCAATTTATGTGACACACTTTTCTTATTAATCCGTTCTAAAAAGAATGACACATTCTATATTTGAAAACAATTTAACTTTAAGCTTTCAATTTTACTCTTAAAGAAAAGCTTTTATAGCTACACAAACGTTATGGCCCCACAAAGCTTTTACCCATTAAGCTTTTAATACCACAAGTTTCAAAGTCTTTTTTTCTTTTTCTTAAACTCCGTATCGAGTGAAACTCTGTCACATAGAGGAGTAACTCTAAACTTTCCTTTTACCTTTCACCCTTAATAAGACTTTTATGACCACACAACTTGAAACCTCAAAAAAGTTTTTACACTTCAAGCTTTTAAGACTACACGTTTCAACAGTCTCCCGTTTTTTCTTAAACTATGTGCCGAATCAAATTACATCACATAGATTGGAACGGAAGGAGTAAGTCATTAAGAAAATATCAATAGGATACCATAAGTAAAAACCTTAAACTTGAAAAGTTTTAAGTGGTCCACCTACCTCTTCGCTCTCATTTGATGATAATGAATTCTTTTTCCACCTTGGCGGTTCACAGCTAAGAGTTCCACCAAGCGTTTTCCTATCCCACCTCACCCAGTGCCCTTCCATAGAGGTCGATACATAATTTTATGTTTTCCTACTTTAGAGAACAAAGATCTTTGCTTGATGAGGAATGAGTGTGCACATGTATATGATTGCTAAATACTATTCTTACCATTCCATTTTATATAATCCTCTTCCTGTTTTGGTTAGTTTCAAAAAGATTTTACTCAAACAATAGACGAATGCCTTCAAGTTACATTTCTTTCATAAAGTTTAAATGCCTACAAAATCTATAGTTTTTGTGCAGGGGAAACAAACTAGGTATCATGATTCATTTTTTGCGTTTTTTGGTCTCTTTGACACCCCATATATTTGGAAACTTTTATCTTGATATTATAATTTTGCCTCTAATAAATGCTCTTATAAGAATCGTATTACATGTTGATAAGTGTTAGTTAATCTTATTGATTGGAAGTTTCAATAGTAGGAAGCTCACGTAAGTGGTAGATTATGGATAAACTATAATATCAACAAATCAAGGAATTAGAAATATTGTTAATGTATTAGTAATAGATAATTACTCCCGGAGCTTTCACTCCGTGGTAATAGCGCAAAGCGCGATGTGTGGGTTAAGCGCATGTCATGAGTTCGAACTCTATTGCCGACAAAAGCGTGGTATTTAAATGGAGAAGGACAGAGGGATGGAATGGTGGTCTTGAACCGTTTGCCAACTGGTCTTTGGGAATTTCTCGGTTGTAAAAAGAAGTAATAGCTACTTTTGTCGACGTAGAGTAATGCTTCTTGTCATACTAATACACAGAAACAGTATGATCTTCCCTTTTCTTTTTTTTTTGCTTCTTTATTTCTTTCAATTTATCTTGAATTATTGTGTTTGATGATAAATTAAACTTGCTTGCTGATAGTTTTTTGTCTTTTACTTTTTGATGTCCTGTAAGGTGTCCGGAGGTGCAACTTTGTTGGGTACTGGCGCCTCCTGTCATGTAGACTCTCTCTCTCTCTCTCTCTCTCTCTCTCTCTCTCGTTTTTGATCGTAAACGATACTGCTTATGATTGGCACCTCCAGGGATTTTGAATAAGATTCGTTGTTCTTGTTGGGGGGAAACATTGGCTCCATGCAGTGCATTTATGTTTTGGCTCAAATGAATGTTTGTCCATTTTGATAAAAGGAGCTTTATTGTATTCATTTTGGACAATGCGGACCATGACCCGTTAGTGTTGTTTATATTGTATTAGCTGATGCCTGCAGTCAAGTAAGATATGATACTGAATTTACCTACTTTTTCATTTAGTGCTGTTGAACTAAATCATGGAGAAGGTCATCCTTGTTACTTCTTGCGATGCATACAATGTTTAGCCAGATATCACACTCCTTTCCTCTCTTCTGTAAAAAAAATCACTTGTCCTCCTTTTTCCAGCTGGAAATCGTAGTTATGGATCTTAGTCAGTCTAGTTATCGTATATCCTTTCAGAGTTTTTATTTTTAATCATATACCCTTTTCAGTTCTACTTCAATGATTTTATCCACTTCCATTTGTTGTTTGCATAACTGAAATTCATAATATATTGATTAACCCATGCGATAGTTACTGGTTCTGGAAATCATAGTGCATACGCTGATACCTTTGTTTTGTCAGGGAAGCAACCTGCTAGGGAAAATATTTTGATTATGAAGATATCGGCCTACAGTTGTCGCTCAAAGCACCTTACTGCCTAACCTTCTGCTGATTCTAACTAATATTTTATCTCATGCAGATGAAGGGCGAGTATTGGCGAACTGTTACTGTGTTTCCCTTTTATTATAATCCTGCTGTCTTGATGACACAGTCTAGACTACATCACTAGGTTCCTGCAACAAGTTGCCCCTGTTGCTGTTCTTTCATCAGTTTGTCGATCCTATATTGTAGATAGCATGGTGTTCAATGACTAGCTAGAGGAATGAAGAAAGCGACATTGCATTTTCCCACTATCCGCCTTTGGAAGGAACCCTTTTAACCGATCATCTCCTTGTTAGAGCTGGCCGGCTACTGATGTTCTTGATCTTTAGAACTTTTATAGGTTGTAGTAATAGCTTGTATATATGAAGATCAAACTGCTTATTCTGTACAGAAGATTGTATCTATATCGTGCTAATGGATATCCAGAGTGCAGTTCAAATGCTCTTGTCTGTTCTCTTTCTAGTTAAAGATGGAAGCACCTACTAAGCGAGTCCAACGAGTCAAATTAGGGATGCTGGGATTTTGAAAGGATCAAAGAGGCACATAAAACATTTTACTTCCAAATTTTCCCACTGAATATGGCAATGCAAGTTTCATTTAAATGATTGAATTCTTCCTTTTTCTTAAGCCTGTATTTTCTTATGTTGCTGTTTACCCTGTTGATGTACCCTAACTAAACTCATTTTACTTTGATTTAGCCAAGTTATTTCAAATACTTGAGCTGTGATGCTTTGAGTGTTAGATTTTATACTTAATAGGAGAAGCTCAATCAGTTATTTGAAGGTATCTTTAGTCTTTTAGCATTTGGTGTCGATGCATCTGGTGTTCAACAACATACATGACTGACCATCTCAAGCGGTCTTCTTTCATTTTATCTTCGATATATGCTATTTGAACCTTCTCGCAAATGTGATCATTTCTAATTTTGTATAATCTTATATGGTGACATATTTAATTCCGCATCTCTATAACATTATCTTCTGGATGCGTTGAATTTTAGCGGCCCAACATTCACTCATATAGTATTGCTAAATACTGGTCTTATAACTGTTCTATAGAACTTAATTACCTTTCACTTTGGCAGGCAAATTTTTATCACAAAACACCCGTGTATCATGTCTCCATTTCTATCATCTAATTTTGATTCTATGTGTGACATGTTTATCTATAATTTCATTTTGCAGAAACAACGAGCGTAAATATCTAAATTATCTTTATTTAGGCACAATAATCCCATCTGCTTTCACTCTTCTTATCTAGAATAAACTTGCACTGCACATGTTCTACTTATTTTTAAGATCTTCTCTCCATAGTGCTTCTGGATAGTTTACACTTTTGATTGACACCCTTGGTTTTTTCTCCGATTAACATAATATCGTCAACAAAAAGCATAATCTTTTGATTGACACCCTTGTTTTTTTTAAAACATAATATCGTCAACAAAAAGCATAATCTATGAAACCTCATCTTGTATATTGTGATTAGCTTATCCATAACAAAGGTGACCTATCTCTTTTATTTCACCCGTCTCAAACAATTGCAGGTCTAGTTCACCACAAGGAAGAAAGGCTGAAAGATTGTATTCGCTTCACTTTTGCCACTTCATAGTACAAAATAGCGTTAATGTTTTGTACATGTAGTAGTATATTTTGGTCGTCAGCATCAGGAATGTTTCTAATCTACCCTTGTGTGATTCCTGTTGAAACATATACTCGGGGGTGGGTGCATGGCGGGTATATAGCCGAATTATCTCACAATTAAACCACGAGGAACAATAGTTTGTTTCATGATCAAATGTACTAGTAAAAGAAATTATGAACAAAAGTTCGTTTCTAAAATGGAGTGATACTTTCTACATAACTAGTCTTTCAAGATAATATAATTATAAACGCCTCTGATGTAGCTCTCCTTAGGAAGCCCCTCGATTTCTGATTTTTTCCAACTTTTTATGACATCATCAGTGGCGGATGCAGGATCTCGTTCAAAAAATTATTTTTGTGGCTAGTGGGAATTGAACCCATGACCTTATGTAGATTTTGAAAACCCTTGACCACTAAACTACACTTTTGGATTGTGTTAAGGGTGTTCAAAACTTAATATATAGAGATAAAAAATAGATTTTGCCTTGTATATACCGTGTAATTTTTCGCTTGCGCCCCCTAATTCCGCCCCTGGACATCATAACACAGACATAACGTACCTGGTTTTAAGTTCAAGATGAATACAATCTCCCCATCACAAGACGTGAAAGCTGATGTAACTCGAGACCGTATGTCATTCAATAATGAATGAAAAGAAATTCATGACTCTCCCATTCTTCTGTTGGTCTCTATTCTAAAATCCACAATTGGATATATCCGCGTCTGCATTTTTGATAACCAATGACTGCTAATTTACCCTTCACCTCTATCAACTTGTAATCATTCTCCAAGATATACGCATTCCACAATGCAATAATTTTGAATTTTTCAGATTTAATTAACGTCAAATGCTGCTATAGCACGTCCGTTATGGTAAGCAAACCTATATATAACTCCACTAATCCAAACCCCGGGCATGCATAGAACACGAGGAGAAATACTTTCAATCTTTCTCCATGATTTGTCTATGCCTAAAGTTAAAATCCAATATTTACTGTACCCTTCTTCAACAAGCTCACCCGTCAAAAGAACTTTGTACTTCTTTTCTTCTAAATCAAAACCTAATGCATAGCTAGGCCGAACAAAATCTTTATTTAGGTCGGGAAGAAATCTTACTTTTCCTTTACTGGTATTGAAAATCGCTGCAGGTCCAGCAAATGTTGGTCCCCAAAAGCAAAATAAACCATTAATAACGTAATCCAAACCAGAATATGCAGGGGCATTGTAGTAGAGCTCATCAATTTGAAGAAGGGAGGCAGAGGCTCTTCCATCTTCTATTTGTTCAATAGTGTAAAAAACTGGTCTCGTTTCCTGCGAAAAGAATTCTGTTCCACCATGATAGGTCATAGAGCGACATACATGGATATTCAAACACTACTAGAATTCCTGCAAAAAGCTACCAAACTTTAGCGACCAAAGTTGGTCCGTCAAGAAAAACAACCAAAGTTGGTCGCTAAACTGGTGAAAATAATAAAATAATGATTTTAAATAAATTAGCGACCAACGTTGGTCGCCACTTGGTCGAAAATTTTGTCAAACTGTTGACCGGACTGGTCAGACTTGCTTGGTCAAAGAATTAGTCAGATTAGCGACCAACGTTGGTCGCTTCATGGGACCCACTTATTAAATTTTAATAATTATAATATTATTTTTAAAAAATAACAAAATATAAATAAATAAAATTTAAAATTAGCGACCAAAGTTGGTCGCTATATGAAGAGTAAACAGATTGAGACCAACTTTGGTCGCTAATTTGGGACCCAGTTATAAAATTTTAATAATTATAATTTTGTTTAAAAAAAAATATAAAATATAAATAAATATAATTCAACTTTAGCGACCAATGTTGGTCGCTCAGTAGAATATAGACCAACTTTGGTCGCTAACCTGGGACCCAGTTAATATTTTAAAAATATAAAAAAGATAAATAAATCTGATTTAAATTTAGCGTCCAACTTAGGTCACTAATTTAAAATAATGTATGTTTAGCGACCAAAGTTGGTCGCNTGCTAGAGCTGAAATTTTCGGGTTACTAAACAAAAACTTCAGCTCTAGAGCTTAAGTTTTTATTTTATAACTGGCAAACTTCAGCTCTAGAGCTGAAGTTTTTATTTTATAAGCTGAAGTTTTCGGGTTACTAAACAAAAACTTCAGCTCTAGAGCTGAAGTTTTTATTTTTTATCTGGAAAACTTCAGCTCTAGAGCTGAAGTTTTTATTTTTTATCTGGAAAACTTCAGCTCTAGAGCTGAAGTTTTTATTTTATAAGTTGAAAACTTCAGCTCTAGAGCTGAAGTTTCCGGGTTACTAAACAAAAACTTCAGCTCTAAAGCTGAAGTTTTTATTTTTTAGCTGGAAAACTTCAGCTCTAGAGCTGAAGTTTTTATTTTATAACTTGAAAACTTCAGCTCTAGAGCTGAAGTTTCCGGGTTACTAAACAAAAACTTCAGCTCTAAAGCTGAAGTTTTTATTTTATAACTGGCGAACTTCAGCTCTAGAGCTGAAGTTTCCCGGTTACTAAACAAAAACTTATAAAATAAAACTTCAGCTCTAGAGCTGAACTTCAGGCCCGGCTACTAAAATGCTGAAGTTTTATGTAATTGCCTTTGCTACTTCAGCCCCGTGTGCTGAAGTTATGTGAAAAAGCGGGTACGCTTGCAATTTTTTTTGCAAAGCGGGCACAGTATAGATGCAAACCCATTCTAGTCCAGTTAGGAAATTCTGGGCCTAAATCAGCCATTCTTTTGGGTCCAAACATAGTTCATAAATGAAACATTTTAAAATTGATTAGGTTTACGTTGAGCTGCTATTCGTTATTTACTCAATTTCAATAGCAAATTAGAATAACCTAAATGAAATTACTATATAACTTTTAGCGTTTGGCTCAAAATTTTGAAAAAAAAAGGTTTGCAAATATTTTTGAGTAATTGGAGTTCACGAATCAGTCTTTTGAACGGTACTTCATGTGTGTAAGAATTTCTAGGTCTTTTTTAAGTAACTTATAACACAAGCATTTCGTTCATATTTTCATTGGAACACCCTTATATGTCTTCTACTAGAAATTCCAATATACTTTTGTATACAATGCCTTCAGAACGATCCAGGAGCTAAATAAAAGGAAATACCAAAAAACAGATTAATGTTTTTCTTCTTCTATTTTTTTTTTTTTTAAATGGCAACCCGGTGCACAATGCATCTTGCATTCACGCAGAATTTAGGGAAAGGATGCTGTCACGACCCGGAATTCCCACCTTCTGGATCGTGATGGTGCCTAACATTTCACTTTCTAGGCAAACCAATGTTAGAACAATTTATCCATTTTCAACAGTTCAAATTAAATGATTAGAAAAAAGCTGAAATAACTGCAATAATCTAAAGTATAATGCGGAAATCATAGCAATTGAAATATCTAATACAACCCTGGATCCGGTGTCACAAGTGCACGAGCTATTAGAATAGTACAAATAAAAGTCTGAATACAACATAAAGCCGTCTGAGAGAAAATTCACAGCTAATGAAAAGGAAAGGGGACTCTAAGGGCTGCGGACGCCGAGCAGCTGTACCTCAAGTCTCCATACCGCTAGCCAACCCGAGCACGCTAATGACCGTCGCTGGGACCTACTCCAAAATCTACACAAGAAGTGCTGAGTGTAGTATGAGTACAACCGACCCCATGTACTCTGTACGTGCCGAGCCTAACCTCGACGAAGTAGTGACGAGGCTAAGGTGGGTCACTTACACTATAACCTGTACACAGTTAACTGAAGAAAATAGCTCAATCCTCAAAGAAAACCAATGAAGGTCAAAATTACCAATCCTTAGAGTCTCGTATGAAAAATACCGAAAAACCAACAATGCAAAAGAAATAGAAACACATAGACTATTGTGGAGCGCAACCCGATCCCACCGCACAACACAATTCTCCCTTATTCCATCGCAACAATATCAACAACAGTAAATAAATATATATATGTTGCGGCGCGCAACCCGATCCCACCATATTCTCAAAATCAAGATCATATTTCACCCTTATTCCAGCGTATCAATCCACCCTTATCTCACCTGTTACGGCGTG